GCAAATGGAAAGAAGTTTTTTTTTTAAAGAAACTTAATAACTTGGGGCCAGCAGGTAGCATGGTGGTTAAGGGCGCTGGACTCCCACATGGCCAGCGACAGTTCAAGTCCCAAACCTAGCAGCTTGCTTTCTCACTTTCTCTCTCTCTCTCTCTCTCTCTCTCTCTCTCTCTCTCTCTTTCTCTCTCACTCTGTCCCTCTCTGGTCAAATAAATAAATAAAGTTTAAAATATTTTTTTCTTAAATTATAAAGAAAAGAAAGTTAATGACTTTATATTTACCTCCTTAACAGATTAAAGAAAAAAAGTGTGACCTTCTCAATAGAGCTAGAGAAAAGCATCAAATAGAATTCAGCACTAGCCAACTAGGAATAGAAGAAAAATTTCTGGGGGGGGGGGAATGCACAAAAAAATTTATAGCAAATAATACTCAGTGGTCAAATATTGAAAGCATATTCTATAAGATGAAGAATAAGACAGGATGGCTATTATCATCATTCTATTGTCTATGACATAGAAGTAAAAAAAAAAAAAAAAAAAAGGCTAAAAATAAAGAGATAAAATCTTTAAGAACTGGGCAAGACTTACTAGTCTCAGGTGACATACCAACATAGAAAACCCAAGAGAATGCATATTTATACTACTGGAATGAATGAACGTTAGCAAAGTAACTAGATATTTTTAAAAATTCAGTATCTTAAAAACACAACTGCCATGAACATCTGTCAGCCTATAAAATCTTTTTTTTTTTTTTTTTTAAGTTTGCTATAGGACATGTGCACTTGCTGGAGAGATACAAAGAGAGAGAGAAAGAGAAAGGGAGGGGAGTGAGAACTCACCCCTTGGAGGGATGACCACACTGCAATCCCTTTTCCTCACAGAATTTTGGGCATACACATATGCCCAGCATGTTTTCCAAGCTGCCAGGTCCAGGGACTTAAACCATGAAGTCAGCCATGTCAGATCTAGCCACCTTAACCACCACACCACCAGCTGGCCTAACATCAGTATTTTTAAAAAGCTATCAGAAATGAGATGGCAAATCATATGAATGCAGCTTACAGAAAAAAACTACTTTTGAAATTGTCCCCAAAGTGAGAGGAGAGAGAACCTGGCAGTCCTGGGAACAGAAACCCAGGCATGGATATCGATTCTGTGGGTTCAGTTAGCCCACGGTCTGAAGTGAGAGACTAATATAAATGGATTTGCTGGGCCCTGAGTTTCCACCCAGAATGGGGCCTGGGACAGACTTTAAATGCTTGCGGAAGCTAATGCAATTCCTGGATCAAAAATCACCCAGTGTCGCAGGGCCCCTTGATACTGCTGAGTCAGATCAAGTCGGAGTGCCGGTTATTAAACCAATGAAAATGCTTGAGAACTACTCGGAGAGCTAGTTTCTCACCTACTTTGGCCCTTGCAACAGCCCAGGGAGCAAACCTCAAACTTTCAGAGAGCAAAGGCATCAGCTGTCATATTCGCACCTACCAGGTGGCTCAATTTAATCATTTACCTGCAGAGGTGAGTTTCGCAGCCGGGAGCAGCGCCAAGAAAGAACTAATTGTCCACCTAAGAAAGGAATTTTCTCCATGTTTTGAAGAACTGAGACAAGTGGTGGAAGTGCCAGACACAACATCAATCCCGCACAATCTGTAAGCCACAATAATCCTTGGATCTAATGTGCTCACTTCATATTTAAGAGTCTAGAGAGAGAATTTCTGCACCGTTGTGTTGTCACATTTAGGGTCTCGTTTAGGGGCTTTCCTTTTTTAGAGAAATGTGTGGCTATCACAAAAAAAACAAAACCAAAAAAACCATGTTTCTATCAACGGTTCCCATGGAGTCAGTTCAGTTACCAAACAAGGATGAGACTGTTCAGTGGCTCCGAATCAAAGACTTGCATTGATCCACTCAAACAAGTAAATGCTTCTGTTGCACAAGCAGACCCTTTTCATTGTGACTAATAATGAGAACCTGGTTTCCTTCACATTATCTTGTATTTCTTTGTACTGAATGTGAGGTAAGACAGCTTACCGGTCAATCAGTGTAATCACTAACTTTCCTATGGATAGATTATATGGCATCATGCACAGATTTCAAGAAGTCCATAGAAAAATAGTATTAAGGGACCAGCAGATGGTGTAGCAAATGGTAGCATTGCTGGACTCCCACGTAGTCAACCACAGGTCAAGTCCTGAACCTGGTGGCTTAAAACTCACCCCAGGTGTGTGTGCGTGCATGCCCAAAAATTCTGAGAGGAGAATGGAGGAGAAGGGATTGCAGCATGGCCATCCCCACTGGGGAGCAGGGAGGTGATTTCTCACTTTCTGTCTCTCTGTCTTTCTCTGGAGAGTGTACACACCCTGTAACAAAAATCTCTCTCTAAAAAAATTTTTTTTTGGAAAAATGGAATATGTTTTTGGAGAGGTTTTTGCTACAGGGCGCATGCACTCATCAGAAAGACAGAGACAGACAGAGAGATAGAAAGCAAGAAATCAAATACCCCCCCCCCCCGAGGGGGATGGCCACATTGCAATCCCTTTTCCTCGATTCTCCTCTCAAGATCTTGGGCACGCATGCACACGTGCCTGGTGTGAGTTTAAGTCACCAGGTCCAGGACTCAAACTGTGGTCAACTACATGGGAATCCAGCAACTTAGCCATAAACTGCTGGTCCCTGAAAAATAGAAGTAAAGTATGAGTTTATTTGGTGAAAAAAAAAATTGTAATTCATGCACAAGTTTTATTTTTTCTTTTTAGAGATATTTTTGCTATAGTATGCGTGCACTCACCAGAAAGACAGACAGAAAGTGAGAGATCATCCCTCAGGGAGATGGTCACACTGCAATCCCTTTTCCTGCATTCTCCTCTTGGGATTTTGGGCAGGCACACACATGTGCCCAGTGTGGGTTTCAAGCCGCTGGGTCGAGAATTTGAGCCATGGTCAACTACATGGGAGTTCAGTGACGTAACCATTACATCATCTGCTGTTTCCCCGCCCTTTTTTCTTTTTAGAGAGATTTTTGTTATAGGGCAAGTCCACTCACCAGAGAAACAGAAAGCAAGAAATCATCCCCCAGGGGGGATGGCCATATTGCAATCCTTTCTCCTCCATTCTCTTCTCAGGATTTTGGGCATGCACACACAGGTGCCCAGCTTGAGTTTTAAGCCATCAGGTCCAGGACTCGAACTGCGGTCTACTATGTGGGAGTCCAGTAACGTAACCATTACACCATCAGCTGGTCCCAATGCACAGTTTTTCTTAATACACATATTTCATGAACTTTTTGAACCTCTTAAATAGACACATTATTATTTGATTCTTTTCAGAGGGTACTGCCCCTTATGTAAACACAAGTTAGCGAAAAGGGAGTCTACAGTCAGTAAGCTTGAATGTTTGTCTGCTCTCTATAAAATTTAGGTGTGATTCATTAGCAAACTCTGTCTCCAAAACCACTATGCATGTAAACATGAAAATACTACCATTTTGTCAGACCTGAGTATAAATGAAACAGTATTTTTTTTGAGAGAGAGATTTTCACTATAGGGCGCATGCACTCACTAGACAGACAGAGAGAGACAGAGAGACAGAAAGCGAAAAATCACCCCCCGGGGGGATGGTCACGCTGCAATCCCTTCTCCTCCATTCTCCTCTCGGGATCTTGGGCACGCACGCACATGTGCCCAGCGTGAGTTTTAAGCCACCGGGTCTGGGACATGAACCGCGGTCAACTACGTGGGAGTCCAGTGACATAGCCATTAATGTTAACTGCTGGTTCCCCAATGAAACAGTATTTTTAAAGTAAAATGTATATGTAAATATTCTAACTAAAATACCTATAAATATATCTAACAAGACTGTATGAAACATTTATAGATAAATTTTTGAAAGTACTAAAGGACACTTTTTAAAATACCTAAACGGGGGCTGGCAGGTGGCATGGTGGTTAAGGTGCTGGACTCCCACATGGCAGACCATGATTCAAGTCTTTGACCTAGCAGCTGACTCCCCCACTTTCTCTCTCTCTCCCTGTCTCTCATTAAACAAAATACCTAAACGAACAGAAAGGCATTCCATGTTCATGGATTGGAAGAGGAAACGTACAGGTGCTAATATTCCCTAAATTCATCTACAGAGTCAATGCCATTCCCATCAAAATCCCAAAAGTCGTTTTGTGGAATCTGACAACTGATTTATATGGAAGGACTCAGGTTCAGGAAAGACCACCCTGCACTGTGAAGAGCAGGGCCCAGCAGGCGTAGAAGGGTTACTTTCCCAGGTATGAGAAGTCATGAAATGGGGGAAACTCAAACTGGCACCTGGCCTGAAGGACCTAGCCTGGATTCTTGCTCCACTTTTACTATTAACTGGGTTCTTGGACAAGCAATTTCCCCCTCTGGTTCTTCAAGCACTCATCTCTAAGCTCCACCCGCCCAGAGCTTCCATTGAGAATCAAAAAGATTCAAAGTCCATCCCAGATGTCTCTGAACCCCCGCACCACAATCCTAAGTCACAAAGTCATCCTGACTTTCCAACAAACCACCTTTAGGAAACACCTGGTTTGAGAGCCCATCGGTAAATTCTATCCAAACTGGAACCACACCCAACCACTTAGCCAAATCCTTGGCCACTGACAACAGTGAAGCTGAAAAAGAAGTTTCTGTCTGCTAGTGCAGTGTGTGGCATGCAAGGCTGCTCAACCTGGATCCCTAGTCCCCACCCATCCAGCATGATCAGCTCATTATCTGTAACTCAACCTCCCCTCTCCCCCTTACGGCTGACTTAGCTTTCTCACTTGGGTAAAGCAGGGAACTAGCTCTTCTCAGCCAGGTTTCTGGGTTCTGTGTGTTCCGGGAAGGGATCAGAGCAGGCACCCCCATAAGGAGATAGCCAAGAACCAACACTCAACCAAAAACAACACATGGATGCCAAGCCTGGCCTTGTAGTCCTTTCAGAGGTGACCCATCCCACCAGCCCAGAAGGAAGCCCCCGTCCCACCCAGTACCTGTATTTGATGTCAAACACTGTGGAGTCCTCGTCCTCATCATCCTCTTCATTCAGTGGGGCCATTTCTACTCGCTCGGCCGGCGTGGTGATGATGTCATACTTACGGGTTTTCTTTAATCTCTTTCCAGACCTGGAAGGGGAAAAGTACATTCGTGAAGACACACCTTGGAGGGAAGGGGCCGGAGGCTGCTCCTGGAGACTTGGTTAACGCACCACTGCCCCGTGAGAGCAGTTACTAGCCACGCTAACCCTAACCCCTTTTGGCCTTCACCCATATATCAGAGGCACCTGCCCTGAGCACCAAAAACTCACCTCTCATAAGGTAAATAAAAACCGAATGAAATATTAGATCATCGGAAAAGTCATGAATGCATTTTTACATAGAAAAACAGGAAAATATGTCATGACTTTTCCGATGACCCAGTATTTTAGAAAGGCCAAATTCATGAGGAAAAAAATCATTATGAACAAAGAATCCCAGTGTTCAATGGGGGCAGGATCCAGCTGAGAGTGGGACTCTATGGCCTAACCGAGGGGAACCCGGGTTAGAGTACGGTTCCTCCTAAGTACAATGGAATAAGAATAGTCTTCTTCACAGGTGAGGGATAATTACTTAAGAGGATGCACTTAATGAACCTGTATACGGAAGGCCCTTAGCAGAAGTTGCTGTTAGTTCTGATAACAAATGGGGAAAAGTTAAACATGTTCTATGTTGTCCCACATGACAAGGACCTGTAAAAACAAGTCAATATGTTTTCCATCGTGAAGATTGATGGGGAGAATTGTTATCGTGGGCCTCAGGGAAAGCCTTGATACAAGCCACTTCCTTCTCTAGCATGAGTCTCACCGTGAAGAGTGTGAAATCTGGGACCAGCAGGTGGCGTGGTGGTCGGGGTGCTGGACTCCTACATGGTCAGTCATGGTTCAATTAGTACGATTCACCAAAAATATGATTTATTAGGTTGTCGGGAAAGTTATGACATATTTTCCAATGTTTTTCCGTGTAAAAGTGCATTGTGATTTTCTCCTGAATCTCCACCTTGTAGAGGGCAGATCTTGGGACTCAGTGGCCTCCATCATTCCATGAACCGATTATTATACACACACACAGAGTCATGCATGACGTAACAACGCTTCAGCCAATGACAGAACACATACACCACGGTGTAGCAATAGGCTCTATACCACACGGCCTAGGTATGTGGTAGGCTATACCATCTAGGTTTGTGTAAGTGCACTCGGGAGGTTCACATGACAAAACCAACTAATGGAGCATTGCTCAGAACATATCTCCATCGTTAACTGATGTATGATTATATACACACACCTGCACATAACATATATACAGAATAATATACATGATATAATGTATAATCATAACTTATAATATTTATATTACATAAGCAGGCACCCCCATAAGGAGATAGCCAAGAACCACCACTCAACCAAAAACAACACATGGATGCCAAGCCTGGCCTTGTAGTCCTTTCAGAGGTGACCCATCCCACCAGCCCAGAAGGCAGCCCCCGTCCCACCCAGTACCTGTATTTGATGTCAAACACTGTGGAGTCCTCGTCCTCATCATCCTCTTCATTCAGTGGGGCCATTTCTACTCGCTCGGCCGGCGTGGTGATGATGTCATACTTACGGGTTTTCTTTAATCTCTTTCCAGACCTGGAAGGGGAAAAGTACATTCGTGAAGACACACCTTGGAGGGAAAGCGAACCTCGGAGGACCAGACATGGACTGAGCGGCCAAGGCTAAGGTGAGCGCACCTGGCACTGCCACAAGTCGACCATCCCACTGCCACCACCGCCACCACCTCCAGCCCAGCTGTGGAGGCTGCTCCTGGAGACTTGGTTAACGCACCACTGCCCCGTGAGAGCAGTTACTAGCCACGCTAACCCTAACCCCTTTTGGCCTTCACCCATATATCAGAGGCACCTGCCCTGAGCACCAAAAACTCACCTCTCATAAGGTAAATAAAAACCGAATGAAATATTAGATCATCGGAAAAGTCATGAATGCATTTTTACATAGAAAAACAGGAAAATATGTCATGACTTTTCCGATGACCCAGTATTTTAGAAAGGCCAAATTCATGAGGAAAAAAATCATTATGAACAAAGAATCCCAGTGTTCAATGGGGGCAGGATCCAGCTGAGAGTGGGACTCTATGGCCTAACCGAGGGGAACCCGGGTTAGAGTACGGTTCCTCCTAAGTACAATGGAATAAGAATAGTCTTCTTCACAGGTGAGGGATAATTACTTAAGAGGATGCACTTAATGAACCTGTATACGGAAGGCCCTTAGCAGAAGTTGCTGTTAGTTCTGATAACAAATGGGGAAAAGTTAAACATGTTCTATGTTGTCCCACATGACAAGGACCTGTAAAAACAAGTCAATATGTTTTCCATCGTGAAGATTGATGGGGAGAATTGTTATCGTGGGCCTCAGGGAAAGCCTTGATACAAGCCACTTCCTTCTCTAGCATGAGTCTCACCGTGAAGAGTGTGAAATCTGGGACCAGCAGGTGGCGTGGTGGTCGGGGTGCTGGACTCCTACATGGTCAGTCATGGTTCAATTAGTACGATTCACCAAAAATATGATTTATTAGGTTGTCGGGAAAGTTATGACATATTTTCCAATGTTTTTCCGTGTAAAAGTGCATTGTGATTTTCTCCTGAATCTCCAGCTTGTAGAGGGCAGATCTTGGGACTCAGTGGCCTCCATCATTCCATAAACCGATTATTATACACACACATACACGCACACACACACACACACACACACACAGAGTCATGCATGTCATAACAACGCTTCAGCCAATGACAGAACACATACACCACGGTGTAGCAATAGGCTCTATACCACACGGCCTAGGTGTGTGGTAGGCTATACCATCTAGGTTTGTGTAAGTGCACTCGGGAGGTTCACATGACAAAACCAACTAATGGAGCATTGCTCAGAACATATCTCCATCGTTAACTGATGTATGATTATATACACACACCTGCACATAACATATATACAGAATAATATACATGATATAATGTATAATTATATAACTTATAATATTTATATTACATATGTATATTATAATAGTATATTAACATAATAAGCATTATATAGTAGGATATTTTTCTAATTATATATTATTATATAACTTATATTGTTGTGTTTATATTATATAAATAGAACATAATGTAAATGTTATATTATGATATTATTTACATTATTGTATACGGTATATGTTATGTGTGTGTGTCTGTGTATATACATATCTCCATCCCACTGGCTCTGTTACTCTGGAGAATCCTAACACAAAGGCCATTAGCGAGAGCCCTTGTGCATGCTTCAAACTCCATAATGAGTTGGAGAAGGTCTGTTTGAAACTCTCAGCTCTCTGAGATATAACACCCTTCACGAAAGAAGAGCAATTTCTGTGTTTCACTGCTGGGAGTGTTAATAAGGGAAAACCGGGACGCACGGAAAGCCTAAAGACACTTAAACACATTCTGAGCAGAGGCTTCTGGCTGTGTTGACAAGGACCCTGCTGATGTGTGGGTGGGAAACCACACAGGTGTGGGTGGGGGTGAAGGAAAGGGGTGGGAGGAATCTGCAAACATTGCTCAAAGTAAAAAGTAAACTCTTCCACAGGCAGCCAGTGGCATGGTGGCGTCTGGATCCCACAGGGCATGGTTTGAGTCCAGCCTTTGCAGCTTGAAAAATGCACCAGGGAGGAAAGGAGGAGCAGGAGGAACTGCCGCGTGACCATCCCCCATGGGGAGTGCTTTCTCATTGGCCATCTGTCTGTCTGTCTCTCTCTCTCTCCAGCAAGCACACACACTCTCTAGCAAATTTTAAAAAGAGAAAAAAAGGGAAGGGTCTCCTCCTTCACTCACTCACTTTGTGCCAATCAGAGCAGGGAAAGGTATGAACTGAGCCCACCGGCATTTCCTGCAGATGGACAGATCCCCAGACCTAACTATCTTGGGACCACAGAACTCGAGAGAACTAAGCCTTCCTGCTTCAGAGACAGAAAATGAAGAAATGGGAAAACAGAGCACACCTGAAGCCCCAATAACCTTGCTTTCTCGTCTGAATGTGGATGCTACCGGGGGGGGGGGTGTGTGTGTCTTTTTTTAAAAATTTTTCTTTCAGTGTGCACTCGCAGAGAGAGGGCAAGTGAGAAAGCAGCCCTAGGAGGATGGTTTCATTGCAATCCCTTCTCCTTCGTTCTCCTCTTGAGATTTTGGGCACACATTCATACATGCCTGGTGAGGTTTTCAAGCCACCAGGTCCGGGGCTGGAACCACACAGTCGTCCATGTGGGGCCCGGCAGCCTTAACCACCACACCACATGGCCGGCCCTACAGAGAGACTTCTTAAATTGACATTAACAGCTCTGTTAGAGGAGAGCCCTTTCTGGGTGGTGGCTGAGCAGCTGGCACGTGTGATCACAGCCACACGTCTCATCACCCTCCCAGGCTCACGTTGCTATTTTTGCTGTCGTAGAGCGGAGGAAGGTGAGGCTCAGAGAGGGTGACCTGCCCATGGCCACACAGCTAACCACTGGCAGAGCTGGGTTTGAAGGCAGGTAGTCCAGCGTCCAGGAGGCTCCGGTGCACGGCCCAGCTCCCTCCCACGTGTTTACGGGGAAGTGCAACCTAAGGATTCACAGCCTACACAGTGCCCTGAAGGAGGAGTGCCCCGACTTTGGAGTCAACTCCGGAGAATCACAGGATACAGTTGGCACATATCCCTGAGAGGGCGAGGGCTGCACATCACCCTGGACCACCCCACGCTTGCCCAACCACAGGGTACCAGGCCTCGCTTACTACTTCCACTCAGCGCAACCCGCCACTCCATCCAGGCCCACTAGACGCCACCACCGCTTAACACCGAAAAACTGCTCATGCTTTTTATACTTTCTGGAACATGTCACTTAACAGAGCCCACACACTCCTACTTCACACTGATCTGGGCGTACTGCCAGCAAACGCTGAACTGGGACTTCCCTAGGATGTGCACTGGTTTGGAGCCGGCCAGCATGCCTTTCCTCCCTTCCTTTGGCATCTGTGTCCTCCGCACCCTCTGGTGAATTCCTGTCCCTCATGTCCCTGTGGGTAAGAAGGCCAAGCTCACCGCCAGCTTCAAGAATGGACATAAGCTTAAGCCTGTGGTCATAGCCCCAGGCACAGCAAGGCAGGGAAGAGGGCAGGAAGAAGTGACCAATCAGATGACCTTCTGGCATGGCCGGCATGGGGTAGGTGTCCTGCACACAGGCCCTGAGGAGCGGATGATGTCATCCACCTTAATGCCTTCTACAAACAGGAAATAAAGCCGACAGAGAAGAGGGCAGATTAGAGACCAAGCCCTTAATATTTAATCTACTATGAAGCCAGCCCTCCTTGAAACTACAAAGCCAGGCCAGTTGGTGGTGTGGTGAAGGTGGCTAGATTCCGCATGGCCGACTATGATTCAAGTCCCAGACCCAGTGGCTTGAAAAACAAAAAAAAACAAAAAAAAAACCAGGTGCACGTGCAAGCTTGCCTAAAATCCCAAGAGAAGAAGGGAGTATGGTGTGATCATTGCCCACAGGGGGTGCTTTCTCACTTTCCCTCTCTGTCTCTCCAGCAAGTACACATGCCCCCCAGCAATTTTTGGGAAATGATGTTTAGAAAAGTACAAAGTCACCTCTTTTTCAACCAGCCAGTCCAGTTCAGGTTTTCTTATATGCCATGGAAATGATCTTTAGAAAAGTACAAAGTCACCTCTTTCTCAACAAGCCAGTCCAGTTCAGGTTTTCTTATATGCCACACAAAAAATGCTAACTGCCATGGGGTCTGGCAAGGACCCCCGTAAAAATGAACACCACCTTGGGATTTTTTTTTTTTTTTTTGCATATTAACAGTAAGCCTTCCACAAATAGGGATCATTTCCCATTTCCTCAAACCCTCTTAAGCCCTAGGACCTTTCCCCTTATAGGAAAAAACGAACCACACACGTGGAGTGTCTCAGTGACAAGGGCATGCAAGGTCTTGCTTAGGGCTCCCCGTGAACAGGAGTTTCTGGAAGACAAACACCCCTCGCAGGCCTGCTTAGAGCACAGCAGGCTAAGAAAAGGGCGAAGGCTCTACCGCCATGATGACACACGCGGGGAGCCCCGCAGTGTGGACAGAGTCCCCAGCTCTGGGCACACGAGTACCTGCAGTACTCAGGATGGTCTCTGTGTGCGAACATGGAACCTTCGCATGTGGACGAGTCTCATAGGGCACGCCATTGTGCCACTGGCTGGCCTCCTATGACCTCTCATGGAAACAAGTAAATAAATAAAAGTAAGTAACAAAAATAAACTTTGAATGGGACTGTGTTTGTGTCAGGCTGTCTCTCTGGCAGGAGATCCTTCTCTGGGACCCTACCAGAGACATTGCTGCCTCTATGTGGCTGGGTCCTGCTCACCTGGTGACAGTGAACCCAAACCCAGTATTCCACTTGAGGGATTTTTAAAAAAAATATTAATGGTAAACTTTCTACACATATGTATAATTTTTTCCATTTCCTCAAACCCTTTTAAACTTGTTTTAAAACATATTTTTTTCAGGCTCAGCAGGTGGCGTCGTGGTTAAAGGTGCTAGATTCCATATGGCCAACGATGGTTTGAATCCCAG